CAGCACCAGGCTGTGGGACTTCAGGCTGCGCCCCCCGCCCCGGCACCAGACTGGAGGACCTCAGTCTGTGTCTCCCACCCAGTGAGGCTTGACGGGGGACCTCAGGCTGCACCCCCCGCCCCACGCCAGGTTGGAGGACCACAGGCCGCTACCCCCGCCTGGCAGGGCTTGACAGGGGACTTCAGGCCACACCCCTGCCTTGGCCTGGGGACCTCAGGCTGTGCTCCCCCACCCTGGTGACACCCAGCGGAGCTTGACAAAAGTGGGACCGGCCAGGTCTGGATCTAGCCCAATGAGGGAGGCTGGCCGGGTCTGGGTCTCTCATGATTTTGAGGTGCACGTGGGTGGGTGGGGACTTGACTCTGGGTCCTGTGGTGCACCCCAGACTCTGACAGGAGGAAGATTTTTATATACATTTTACTAATTTTCTTTCATCTCTGACACTTCTATTATAGAGAAAGGGCAAATAGCAATATTAAAATATTTCCTCTAATTAATCCCCCTTTAATGTGCACGAATTTCGTGCACCGGGCCACTAGTTCTTAGTATAAAAATCCAAGGACTGATTTTAAATGATTCCCAATGAGACGAAGGAAGGATACTCATTTATTCAATTAAGATTTATTTTCTTGGGCATCTACTATGCATATATAAGTTATAGGGGATATAAACATGCTAAGACTTGGCTACTGATCTTAAGGAACTAAGTTTAGTAAGGAAGCCATGATATATAACAAATACTTCCCTATCCTCAGGTTAACCTCTTATAATTCAACAGTATTCAGTCTGCGGCCCAGTTTGCTCTTAAATTAAGGCTTTCTGAAAGACTAACAGTCCCGTGGATGGTACAAAATATGGCTTATATCCCAGAGAATCTGAGATTTGGGAAAGAGAAATATTTAACTATGCATTTCCCAATTTATAAGGTGATAAACTATCTTATGAGCTCACTACTAAAAATTATAAGAATTTATATATCCAGATTAGTAATTTGAGGCAAATAATGCTTATAAGCACAAATGTACAACATATTGATAGAAATGTATGTTACTGTTCAACACCAACTAAAATCAAGCCTGAAATTAGACTAAATGTATTACTTAGTCTTGTTGACCCCAAGAATAATGGTACCTATTAAGGAGAGCTCCTAGTGGCTGATTGGGCTCAAATTTATACACAGAGCTCAGCAGCCATTACTCAACAGGGGCCTCTCATTCAAGTAGTACTTCAGAGAGAAGCCTGAACTAAACTCCTTGTGACCTGCACTGAACTGACTTCCAGCACTGTGTTCCTGACATCTGAGCCAACTTTTACAAAGGAGTTCCTGGAATTATATTTCAACCAATAGGACTGAGACTTTCCTCAACTAATTGAAGATGTATACCTATATCCTCATCAGCATCTTAATTAAGCAATCAGTGTGGCTCCATTCCAATCAATCAGGACAGAGCTTTTTGAACAAGTCAAACTGTGAGGATTTGAACTCCTCTCATTTGCATGAGAAAAGACCAATCAGAGAACACAGGTGGGGACTTCTCTCTCTATATAAGTTCCCCTCTGACTCTTGGAGCTACTTTCTCTTTCTACCAAGACTGCATTTCCCTAGCTGGAGCTGTACAACCCAAGCTGCCTTGCTGGAGAAGAATGGAGCTGTCCTCTCTTGGTGGGAGGAAGCCAAATAGATCAGAGCTGTCTAGGCAGGCTGGAGTGGAGCAGACAAGTCTTCCCTACTGAACTATATAAATCTTATGAAAAAAGAAAGGGATAAATATTATCTTTCCCCATGTTTTGAGGGTGTCAAATTATTCATGCCATTTCAATGCTTATCAAGGTTTATATTCCTTCTAGTTTGTATGACCTGAGACAGATAATCTGAAGAAAAAGAACAGAGGTCTTTGAATGTTAAGAGATTATCACCCAGAGAAACTTCCACTGATATTAGGTTAAGGCACTATCTTTATGATCAAACTCAAATCTGAAAAAAACAAAGCCACACATGCAAGTACACAAACACATACACACAATTCTAAAAGGCCCTTCAGACTAGAATTTTAACTGCAAAAGTATAATATGAAAACAAAATTAACACAATAATCAAATTAAGAGTACAAAGCTTAAATGGCAACATAGATAGCAGAATTATTACCCAAGTAATCCTTTAAATTATCATCCCCAGTGGCCAAAATATTCAAAAGATAAAGATCCTCTCTTTATTTAAAGTTACTAATTTAAAAATAAGGTATCCATAAGGTATTATTACATATTTTTAAAGTTCTAAAAGATCATTTTTACATATGATAGCCATTTAATTAAACCCTTTTATAACATTACTGACTCATTTGCAATCACTCAGTTTGGCAGACATCAAGAACTTACTTTCTCATTTACATGGGGAAAACCTCAAAAACCATGGAAAGTAAAGGACTCTTAAATGACTTCTATTGTATATTTTTCTTCTATCAGTATTTGACTCAGTATCCTTTATGTGTCTAGAGAATTGGTTATTTTGCAAGAAGAGTGGCTCATTTTTCTATTTTTTTGATCACAGATATGTTCTTCTAAACTTTTTTGGTTAATAGAAATAAGTTTTCATTCTTTTAGAAGATATGAGGTGGGTGGCAGGGGTGGATGCTCAGGAACATACTGGGCATTGTGGTCAGATGGAGAGTAAAAAACAATGAAAGTCAAGAAATACATTGTTTATACATAATGAACAATACTCTGCTTCAATTGCCCCAATTCATATTCATACATGCTATGTACATAGTCCAACTATCTATTGAATTAGCTTTCTAATCATATAAAAAACCTATTTCTAAGAATTAATATATACCACCTCTTGCCCACACCCTCGCAACTATTTATTTTTATATTTTTTATTGATTTCAGAAAGGAAGGAAGAGAAAGTGAGAGATAGAAACATCAGTGATGAGAATCATTTGATCAGTTGCTTCCTGCATGCCCCCCACTGGGGATGGAGCCTGCAACCCTGGGCATGTGCCCTGACCCAGAATTGACCAGTACCTCCTGTTTCATAGGTCAACGCTCAACAACTGAGCCACACCGGCCAGACCCCTACAACTATTTAAACATTTCTCCTCCTATAGTGTTCTCCATAACAGTTAACAGTGTCACAAACCTCTGGTCAATTGGTTTAGAAACCTCAGAATCATGTTTGAATAATCCCTGCTAACCTACTAAGCCCTGTAGATGCTACTTCCTTATCTCTCATTATTAAATACTTCTTCCCATTGATGGGGGCCCTGAGGCTGAGCCCCCCACCTGGCAGGGCTTGATGGGGGACCTGAGGCTGCGCCCCCTGCCTGGAGGGGCTTTACATGGGTGGGCCGGCCTGGTCTGGATCTCGCCCAATGGGGGTGGGGCCACCTGGGTCCAGGTCTCGCACGATTTTGAGGTGCCATGGGTGGGCGGGGACTTGACTCTGGGTCCCGCAGCATGCCCCAGACTCTAACAGGAGGAAGATTTTCATATACATTTTACTAATTTTCTTTCATCTCTGACACTTCTATTGTAGAGAAAGGGAAAATAGCAATATTAAAATATTTCCTCTAATTAATTCCCTTTTAATGTGCATGAATTTCATGCACTGGGCCACTAGTTAAAGATAGGATTGCCGAACTTGCCTAGAATAACACATGCGAGTAAGTGCACAACTGGTATCTGCTCTTAACG